ATATTGGAGTTCCTGGATATCTGGTGAAAAATGGGTTACAGGACTCAGGACTGTTGGCTGAGCAACCAGGGCCAGCAGCTGCAGAACTACTGGAAGAAAAGGTGTTTACCCGTCGCAGATACACAGTGATGGAAAACAAAGAAATAATGATCTGTTACTACAGATCAAGTCCAACAAGAAGAGGATATCTAAAACGAATGCACCAGTTCTGGAAAGAACAACATCCAGAATCAGAAATAACAGAACAGAGACTAGCAGATCAACGCCGATTTATAACACGAAATAAAGTATTCACAGAAACAGAATTGGACGAACTGCAAAGGTTTACCCAGGGCAAAGAAATCAAAGCCTTACCAGAAGTAATTCAGAATGTAGAGGCAAACCAGGGGGAGTTGGCAGTGAAGGAATCCAGCAGAGATATACAACTGTTCTCATTTGGAAACCAGGCACCTCTACCTCAGGAAGAACAAAACCCTCTAACTAAAGAAATAAAAGAATTGAAACAAAGAATAACTGAGCATCTAGAACAGCACAAAAACAACAGAATAAGGCTACCTGCATTGAAGCTTGTTCCAAAGAAACAGCTAGCACAAGCATTAAAAGATGCAAATATTGCAATATCAAGTATAAGCACCAATTCACTGCAAGAAACAAACCAACTAATGTACAGCACAGCTGCAGTTATAACAGAATACCTGGGATGCAAAATCAACAAAGAAGAAAAACAAACAAACAGTGCACCAGAAAAATGGAAGGTTAGACTAGAAAATAAGATCAGCAAGTTAAGATCACATGCAAGCAAGCTAGAACAGATGAAAGAAAAGAAGCTGAAGAACAAGAAGACCAAAGAATACCTAATCAAGAAATACCACTTAGAAACAAGGAAGATCAAGGAAGCACTGGAAATAATAAAGCAACAAATAACAGCTATAGCCAGGAAAATCAGTAGATATGAAGCTCGAATTGCAAACTATAGGCAGAACCTCCAATTTCAATCCAATCAGAAACGTTTCTACCAATCCATCAATGGAGAAACTGCAAAGAATCAGTCAGTACCTGACAAGGAAGAAACAGTGCAGTTCTGGAAGCAGATATGGGATAACCCAAAGAAATACAACAAGGATGCGGCTTGGTTAAAAGAGGTGGATGCAAATAAAACAGAAGTTGAAATGAAAGAACTAGTAATAACAACAAAAATGGTAGAAAAAAGAGCAAAGAAAATCAAAAATTGGTCAGCACCAGGTGAAGATGAACTGCATGGGTTTTGGTTGAAACATCTAACTGTTATACACCCACTCATTGCCAAGCAGTTCAACAATATACTACAAGGAGGAGAAATTGAAAAGTGGCTAACAACTGGGAAAACCTACCTAATAATGAAAAATCCAGCAAAAGGGGCAACACCAGGTAACTACAGGCCAATTACCTGCTTACCAACAACTTTCAAATTACTAACTGGTGTGGTAGCTGATGCAGTACAACAGCATCTAGTTGAAAACAATCTCTTTCCACCTGAGCAGAAAGGAAACCGCCCCAATAGCAGAGGAACAAAAGATCAACTCCTAATAGACAAAATGATCTTGGAAAACTGCAAGAGAAGGAAGACCAACCTGAATGTGGCATGGATTGACTACAAAAAGGCATTTGACTCTCTGCCACATGATTGGATAATAAAGTGCCTAGAAATAACAGGAGTCAGTAGAAACATCAGAAAATTTGTGCAAAGATCGATGGCACAATGGAAGACACAGTTGCAGATCAATGGTGAGAGGCTGGGAGAGGTTAATATCAAGAGAGGAATATTTCAAGGAGATTCATTATCACCATTACTATTTGTTATTGCACTGTTTCCTCTGTCAACAATACTGAATAACTCAGGACATGGCTATCAAACATCAAAAACATCTGCCAGACTATCCCACCTCCTTTATATGGATGATCTGAAGCTGTATGGAAAAACATCATCTGAAATAGAATCGCTGCTCAACACTGTCCGTATATATAGCCAAGATATTGTAATGGAGTTTGGCTTGGACAAATGTGCCACACTTACTATCAAACAAGGAAAAATAATGAAAACTGAAGGAATCAAGATGCCCCACGAAAATAACATTAAGAGTCTGGATGAGGAAGAGTACTACAAATACTTGGGTATCCTTCAAGCTGACAACATCAAGCACACTGAAGTCAAGAAAAAGATTAGAGGTGAATACATCAAGAGAGTGAAGAAGATCTTAAAATCCAAACTCAATGGAGGAAATACCATAAAGGCAATCAACACCTGGGCAATCCCAGTCATTAGGTACACAGCTGGAATAGTGGACTGGACTCAAGCAGAACTAAAAGCAATGGATAGGCAGACCAGAAAAATAATGACAATGAATCATGCCCTTCATCCACGCAGTGACATTGATAGACTTTATCTACCAAGGCAAATAGGTGGGCGTGGAATGCTACAAGTACATCAGATGGTTGAAGAAGAAAAAATGGCTTTGGAAGAATATCTGAAGAACAATGATGAAGATGCACTGAAATTAGTATATCAGGAAGGCTTACTAACTACTGGAGAGACCAAACTGGCCTACAAGAAAGACCAAATGAAGAACAGAATAGAGGCATGGGAAGACAAAGCACTACATGGCCAATACATGAAAAAAATAGCTGGGAAAGCAGATAATAATAAAACCTGGCAATGGCTAAGAGCAGGAAAATTGAAGAAAGAGACCGAGGGACTAATTCTGGCTGCACAAGACCAAGCCTTAAGGACAAATGCATACAAAGTCAAAATTGAGAAGACAGCAACAGACAGTAAGTGCCGCCTATGCAAAGAAGCTGAAGAAACAGTGGACCACTTGGTAAGCTGTTGCAAGAAGATTGCACAGACTGATTACAAGCAGCGGCATGACAAAGTAGCAACAATGGTGCATTGGAAGATCTGCAAAAAATATCATTTGCCTGTAAGCAAAAACTGGTGGAATCATAAAATAGAGAAAGTCATAGAAAATGATAAAATTAAACTGCTCTGGGACTTCAGAATTCAAACAGACAAGCACCTGCAACATAACACCCCAGACTTAACAATTGTCGATAAGAAAGACAAAAAAGTCTGGATAGTGGACGTGGCAGTGCCTGGAGATAGCAGAATAGAAGAGAAAGAACTGGAGAAGATAACAAAATACAAAGACCTACAAATAGAAATAGAAAGACTGTGGCAAAAGCAAGCAAGGGTAGTACCAATAGTCATAGGCTCCTTGGGTGCAATCCCAAAACAACTGGAGCACCACTTGAACACCATTGGCATTGACAAATTCGCTATTAGTCAATTGCAAAAGGCGGCCTTATTAGGAACTGCTTCCATCCTGCGACGATATCTGTAATACCATCAAACATCCACATCTGCCTATCCCAGGTCCTGGGTAAGGACTCGATAGGTAGACAAAATGCCAAATCCAGTCTGAACATCTGGCTGACTGTGCGATGATCGATAATAATAGTAATAGTAATAAAAAAGTTGGATGGAACCTTGGAGGTCATCTAGTCTAACCCCCTGCTCAGGCAGGAAACCTTATACCATTTCAGACAAATGGCTGTCCAGTGTCTTCTTAAAAACTTCCAGTGTTGGAGCATTCACTGCTTCTGGAGGCAGGTTGTTCCACTGGTTAATTGTTCTAAGTGTCAGGAAGTTTCTCCTTAGTTCTAGGTTGCTTCTCTCCTTGATTAGTTTCCATCCATTGCTTCTTGTCCTGCCTTCAGGTGCTTTGGAAAATAGCTTGACTCCCTCTTCTTTGTGGCAGCCCATTTGCTTCTAATTTTATTGCTTCTGGCCCTAAAGGGCATTAATTCAAGATTAAATGCCCAGGACCACCAACAAATCAGTAAGCGTACTTCAGAGCAGAGCATCTCAAGGTGAGAATACAGACATTTTTGGGTGGTATCAATGCTGGGAAGAAAGGAGTATAATCTTCCAATGTGCTGATATCTGACTACTTTCTAAAAAATGGAAATAAATGCTACAGGCTGGTTGTGTTGATACCAATCTTGATTATTAAATTAACCCATCTTCCAAGCTCATTCAATACTTTAAAGCCTACAGTAACCAAATAGGTCAGGATAACACTCCATATTACCTCACAACATGCTATGTTCACACCTGTAAGTCACAAACTAATTCTAATATTTTGTGCCAATGCAACCATTAGATATTTTCTGCATTAAATGTGTTGTATGTAATTCGTATGTGTTAGGTATCATGGAGAAGATAGAGAGAATAACAGAATTAGAAGGGACCTTGGAGGTCTTCTAGTCCAACCCCCCTGCTCACGCAGGAAATCCTATACCATTTCAGACAAATGATTGTCCAATCTCTTCTTAAAAATCTCCAGCATCCACAACTTCTGGAAGCAAGCCATTCCAATGATTGTTTTAACTGTCAGGAAATCTCTCCTTAGTTCTAGGTTGCTTCTCTCTTTAATTAGTTTCCATCCATTGCTTCTTGTCCTGCCCTCAGGTGTTTTGGAGAATAGGTTGACCCCCTCTTCTTTGTGGCAGCCCCTGAGATATTGGAACACTGCTATCATGTCCCCCCTTGTCCTTTTCTTCATTAAACTAGACATACACATATTGTATGTACTGTGGCCATGTAGAAAGTGGTGCTGCAAAGTTCCATTTCAAAATGGCCATTTAGGGAGGACAAGGAAGAAAATGTCTGAATAATATATGATTATTTTTCAGGAACACTCACAGTTACAATTATTCAACCCTGGATGTCCAAGTATCTGCCGATAATAATGCATTTTTACAGCTCAAGTAGTTGTTAAGAGACCTAGAACCTGATTAGACCAGGTTTTCTAAGATTATTTGGAAATTCCAATGACCAAATATTAAAGTTTCAGTTTTCTTTCTCTGGAAGTTCTAAGCAGCTAAACTCTTTCGTTTGATTCCAATCAACATTCAAACTGCAAGGATCCAGCTCAATGATCAATCGTTTTTATCTCCCCAAGGTCTCACCTTCACAAAGTTCCATGAACCAGGATGTCAGCAGATCCTGGAGGCTGTTTTGCAGTTAAAAGGCCACTTGTGTCAATATTGCATCTAATTGCTCTCCCTGAGTTTTCCCGTCCACTATTTGTACCACAGGTCAGTACCCTGTATGGTGATAAGATTGTTATTAGGGATGACCACTTTAATATATGGGATGATAACACAGAGGACATCTTCTTCTTCCAAAGTAACTCCATTCAGTCTGAGTGAGTGGGGTGTTTTTTGTCAAAGTTTTTTTTTTTTGAAAAAAAAAATCCCCCCCCCTTTTGTCTAGTTAGGGCTTATGAAACCTTAGGTTGAACAGATTTTTTTTTAAAAAAATAGCTGAATAATGTCTCTACTAAGGTTTAGAATCAACCTTGAGCATGGCCAAAAAGAATTATAAATCATACTCTGTGTTGTTATCATCACATCTTTTTTATATAACATAAGGATTTTTCTGGATCAGAAAAAGACTTATTTTATTCCAGCACCTTATTTCCTATAGCAAACAATAAAATACTAGCAAGAACCCTCATAGCCAGACTTGAGGACAATAGTACTTTATTTTTCTCCATGTTGGTTGTGATTTTAGAGGGACCACATAGCTACTTGATCCATAGCTGTTGGAGGTCTTATTCTCCACAAACATGTCCATTTACTTTTTTAAAGCCTTCAAATGTCATCCCAGTTAGATGAATCCATTTCCTGATCTGAAATGGGTAAAGTGTTCTGTTTTTTCTTTCCCTACAAATGGTCACCCAGAATAGCTAGAACATAGAACCAAGAAAAAAAAGCAATTAAAGTTGGAATAATGCAGAGATTCAGTGGTGGATAGTTCTGAATTTGTTGACACTTGATTTTTCTATTGACTCATTTTTGATTATGTGTCATCAAATTGATGTCGGTTCTTAGCAACCTAGCAATAGATTTTCTCCAGAACAAGCTGTCCATAACCTGGTCCTTCAGATATTCCATTTGTGCGTGCTGTAACTGAGACCATGCACCTTGTAGAGGGTATGCAAAGGTTATCCAGACTGATTCAAAGTTCATGTCCAGTGCTGGGGGAAAAGCACAATCCTGTGTGGATTACTCCGAAGCAGTGCAATTTACAGGGCTGTTCAGTTCTTCAGATTTAAGGGCTTTGGCATCTGCTGGGGTATGAACATAGCAAATGTTTACAATCCCTGCCCACTCCAAACACATTTTTGCCTTTGAATCTAAAGCACTTTAGAGTCCTACAATTGAGCTCTATGTCCAAATCAAGCATGAAGCTGAAAACATGAATAGCTATAATGTTCTTGTTTTCTAATAGAAGAAGATGGAAATTGCATGCTGGATTTCCATATTGGATGGGGATGAGTGATGTTAAAATTTATTAAAACCGATGCAGATATTTTGATGAAGAAGAAATGACCGGCAATGATAGTTTCTACAATGAGGAAGACTTATGACACATTTCAGACTGCTTGCTTAAAGAAGTTTCAGTCAGGGAAGCCCTATTTGTAAAAAAAAATAAAAAATGATACTCTTTCCCGAATGAACGGATGGGGGTGGTACTATGATCAGGAGTAGAGAAAGACATATAAGAGGGAAAATTCTTGGTTTTGATATAAAAGCAGATTTGAGGATGGGTGGGAAAATCACATAACCACTCAGGGCAAAGTGTAGGGGAAAAATAAAACAAAAAACTCATGGACCAAATGATAAAGTTAAGAGGTTTCCACCTCTCTCTGTTTTATCTATCCCACAAAAGGACTAATAGTAGTCTGACTGTTTAAAGGCAGATCTTCTCCGTTTACCTTTTCCTGTCATGTAAAATGGTGATTTCCATTGCAATTCCTAAAGTTATTGGCTCCAGATGAAGATATCAAGACCGGAGATTTGTGGAGAAACAGAATGAAATTGGACCTGTCCACTTTGCCTCTGGGAAATGAAAATGTGTTCCTTATTATAGTACTCCACTCTGACGTGGGATCCATAATTTGGCTGAGTCCAGTGCATTTATGACATGGAGACCACACTGCTGTCAAAGCATTAAAAGTAAACAGGAGCCTCCATCCTCCAGTTCATCCATTCTTTCTTTAGAAAAGAAGCGCTCAGATGAAGCTTTAGGAAGCCCAGAGATACACGAATAGCTGGAAATTAAGATTCAACCCTTAGTCAATTGTCAGTTTCTCAGTTTGGTTAAACCAGACACAGCAAAAATGGCACCTGGTTGCAACTGCAATAGTTAAACAAAATGCAGAGGTAGAGGAAGGTAGGAGGGTGAAGGTTCATTCTCTGAGCTTGGGGGTTGGTTTCTGAACATTAGGTAGGTAACATCTTCATCAGAGTTTAGGGCAGGGGTCCCCAACCCCCGGTCCATGGACCGGCACCTGTCTGCAACATGCCAGCAACCGGGCCATGCAAACAAGCAAAGCCCCATATGGGATGCAGGCAGCACATGAAACCACACCCCCTCTGGTCTGCGGGAAAAACCTCTCTCCACGGAAACAATCCCTGGTGTTGAAAAGGTTGGGGGCCCCTGGTTTAGGGGATGTTAGTGTCAGTGTTCTTCTAAACAGCTCGGAGAACGAACCTTCACCCTCATCCTACACCTGAGCTACAGATATTCGCCACTATTGCAAAGGAAAATATGCTTCACTGTCCCTGGATATGTTGCCTAATATAGTAGCCCTATTTTTAAATGGCAATAATCAACTGTCTAAAACATTCCTTGATGTCTAATGGCATTTGCTCAACAATCTGCTTGACTTCCTGAGGACTAGGCAGAAACTCTGGGCACAGAACCAGAAGGAGTTCTTTCCCAGGTGTATTCAGTTAGGAGGATACCGCTTCATTAAACCGCACTAATTTACTCCACCCCTTGTTGTACTTTACAATCCATAGAGAGTACAAACATTTTAGCTGACACCTGATCCGGCTATAAATAGAAGGGCTGCTGCAGCTGTTCTTGTCTTGCAGCAGCACTGATGGAAATAAGCTGCTGTGGAACTGATTGCTTTGCTGAAGGGAGCTAGGACCTGAAGATTCCTAGTCTAAAAGAAGGATACTTCTGGTTTCATCTGTTTGATTTAGCATTCTTCCAACAAAGTCCCAAAATGGGACTTCTTGGTGGAAGGAATGGTCCCTGCTGTGTTTTGTTGCTCTGAGGAAGCTCTATGACTTTAGGTGATTGGATACCCAAACTCCGCCATCTGATTGAGCTGGTGTGTGAAAGAGACAACGGCAATGATCAGTCTACCCCTTGAATAGGAGTTAGATGCAATGTCTGGTTCTCAGTATGTTGCTAATGCCATTTCTTATGGAATCTAACCAGCATAGGCAAAGGGAAAGCTGATAGGAGTTCCATTCCAATGACATCAGGAGGGCCATAGCATGAGTTATATGACGGGGAGATGACTTCCCGTAACTTCAGGCAGATTGTATTGCGAATCTATACATCCATAGGCTGGTTGTTATATTTGTGCTTGTTATCCCTAGTTATCTTTCAATCTGCCCTCCAGCACTGACACTTAGATTCAACACATCTTGAAACAAAGTTCCTACTTAGCTTTAACTCTCCTGGTTGTGCCTTTGATTGCAATATCAAAGAAATTATTAATGACAACACTTACCTGGCCCCTTAAAAATCTTTGATTACTTATTTCTGCAGATCATAATTATATGATTATGCTAGGTCCTTCCCCACCCCTTGTCTGAATTAGCAACTGTACTAGGAATTAAGCCCTGAGGATTTAGGCCACTTGCAAACTCGGCTATTGAATGCCAACCATTACATTTTCCTATAAGTAGTATGCTCCTATGCATATCCACTTAAAGGTAAGTCCCACTGAGATCCACCAGACTTGCCCACAGGAAAAACTGTCTAAAACTAACCTAACTGACCTTTTCCCAGGTACATAATATTTCCTTCTGTAGAATTGATAATACTTCTGAATATCTTTGGCCAGCAGTGTAACATGTATTTCATCAGTTTGCATTTCCTTTATTGTGGTAGCCATAGCTATATGTTCAAAATCATTTTATGTCTGATCTAGTTTTCTGCTCTTGTGCAACCATTCTGTTTTTCAAGCCATCTACTTGCAATCCCACTTTGGGCAAACAGCTGAGGTTCATGCTGTTGGAATGACGTCAAAGCCTGCAATCGCCTCACTATATATCATTTCAACACCAGCAGTGGTAAGGTTTCCAGGTGAGATTGCAGCTGCTGTCACTGAATGATCAAAATCACATTAGGAGAGTTCGATCTCCTCACAGCATGGTTAATGGTTACCAAAAGGGAACATATGCGAGTGAGATTTACCAAAGCTTGTATTGCTACCTCCTCTCCTTTTCTTTGGCAATAAAAGTCAGAAATTTCTGTAGTCAACAGAAAACTGCAAAGTGCCTCTAAGAAGAATAGGAACTGATGCACATTCCAGCTATTTAAAACTCATTATCCAGAAGTAATAATAATGATGATGATGATGATGATGTTAGAAGGGACCTTGGAGGTCATCTAGTCCAACCCCCTGGTCAGGTAGGATTTGGACTAGATGACCTCCAAGACTCCTTCCATCATTATCATCAATAATAATAATAATAATAATGCATTATCCTGAAAAATAAAATACAGGTTTTGATAGTGATTGAGATGGATGCTTAAAATGAATGAATCAGTAACTGGATAAAATTATACATGATTCATAAATTAAAATAAAAGTTGAACATCAAAAGCTAATTTAAATTAAATGCCTAGAAACTTTAACAAATAATTATTTGTTAAATAATATATAACATTTTGGGGATGGTAGAAAACTATTAGAAATACAATATGTATTAATTAGATTTTAAAAAAATATTTTTATGTTCTTTGTTTTAGTGATGAAGATAGAAGGAAAACAATATGTAGGGAAATAGTTGTGTATCATTGAGTTTAGGAGTCATAGTACTAGGGCTTAATCAAGTGTCTTAAGTAACAGCAACACAAGCTCTCCTTAATATTATTTTCACTAAATAAGGTGATAATGAAGAAGAAGGGTTGCTTGGGGTGACAAAGTTTTAGGATGTATTGGCTGGGTAGAGATTCTATAGAATTAAATTGTGGAAAGGGGCTAGTTCAATCCTCAAGTCCAATCCTTTGCCCAATGCAGGAACCCAATGCATCTGTAATATAGTTGCCCAGCCTTTACCTGCTTCTATTTAGCAGCTTCCTGGAAACTGATCTGTTTGCCTTTGCTCAGGGTAAAGCTTGAATCCAATTCTTGTACAAGGTAGTTTTCATATGTTTACCGCCAGCTTTCATTATCAAGAAGAAAAAAGAAGGCTGGAAGGCTCCCGTTCTAGATAAAGAGAGGCGGCAGAATGAAGCAATCCTTTAGGCAAGGTAAGCTGGAGCAAGTTAGAACAATAATTGTGTTGCAGCATAGCTTGCAGCATTTTTGGTGGGGTAGCACTCTTGATCTCTAATGATGTGTTTATTATGGCTTGTAGTAGACTAGCAGGTCTTTTGCAGCATTCATCTATGTTCTGGCATAGTTTGGGAAATACTGACTGATAGGCATTATCCATCTTGTCCAGGATCCAGGACAATTTCATACTGAGTATATAATTTCCAGGAATGCAATGCTACAAGCATTGTTGAAGGGTAAGATTCTTCCAGCCCAGCCCCTTGGCTCTCTCAACCAATTGCAATAAATATTAGTGTCTCAAAATGTATAAAAAAGATTACAGTATGTGCCACCTTCTTTTAGTTGCTTGATTTTGATTTTCCCTCAGAGTTACCATTTTTTGGACCAATTGCAAATACATACCCTAAATATTTTGTAGAAGAAGAGAACAATTCTTGAGTTCTTTATTATTAACCAGCCTTGAAACAACCTGCATTGGCTACCTGTCTATTTCCAGAGCTTAGTGTAAAAAAATCCTTATTTAGCATCCTCAAACAAATGAAGATCTTGGTTCCTTGAAGAATTGTTCTACCCGAACCTGTTTCTGTTCCTGGTCCAGTGCCTGCTGATACTACACTGCCTTCCATTGCTTTTGGAGTTCTAGTATGCTCAGAGCTAGACAACTTAACACTTCCATTTTAATTTCCCACTATGTAATTATAGTAACACAGCATATGGATCAAAATCAGTAAAAGTGACAGGAAGAGATGTGTCAAAAGTATGGAAAGGCTGGGCCATTACATGCTTGGGAAATAAGGATAGAAAGCCAGTGAAGGTGGTTTGAGCTGCAAGTGAGTAAATATGGCATTAGAGAGTTGGATAGGTATGAGTGAAAGTAATAGCACTTAGACTTATATATCACCCCATAATGCTTTACAGTACTCTCTGTGAAACTTACAATATAAGCATTATTTGCATATTGCCCCCAACAAACTGGGTCTTCATTTTACCGACAGAAGAATCGAAGGTTTAATCAACCTTGAGCCCTATCAGGATCGAACTCCAGACTGTGGGCAGAGTTAGCCCAGAATACTGCACTCTAACCATTGTGCCACCATGGCTCCTATCATATCAGTGGCTCCTATCCTAATATCAGTGGCAATATGGAAAGCAGGGGAAGAGGGTACCCAATGAAAAAGGGATTAGCTGGACAGGAAGAAAATCAACAGAACTGACTATCTTATTTAGAGAAGAAAGGATATCAACCCCAAGGTTTCCCACCCAGGCCTTTGGCTATGCTAGCTGAGAAGAAGGACATTTGTAAATCCACCAATGACAAGGAAGTCAAGCTGGGTAAGACTCATGATTGGTCCAACTGGATTGTTTTCTTCTTTTGGAACAAACTCTGCACTTTAGGGCTATGATGAATTGGAGCCCAAAAGGTTTGTGATGGTGAGTGGTGAATAAGTACAGGGGAGGAAGGAAATGGCAACATAATAATTATCTTCATTTGTTACAGTGCTTTAGGCTCAGCCAACGGAAGGACCAAAACAACAATAGCTGCTTTTTTGAACTACAGTCAGTTAAAAATGAGAAGCAATAGGGCTCCCTTAGTTCCAATAACAGACACATATACATTTATTTAAAAATAGGATCACAAATTACATTCCTACTTCCCTGGGAGATACAAATACTTGCAAATGGTTTTGATAGTATTCTGTTCTTCATGCTTCAAGTGGCCTTCTGTCCTTGTTTTTAAGTGTTACGGGTTTTGCATGTTTATTTGAAAAACCCCTGCAAAGAAGAAAGGAAAATCTTCATGACTATCTCAGGAGCCAACCAATCACTGCACATTGGAATTAGTGTCATTTGGTTTTGATTGAGATTGGGGTGTGGGTCAAATTTTATTTCTATATTGGTTATTCTGAGTGAATGTCCATTGTGAACCATTACAGTTGCTAATTCACTTTCCATAAAAAAATCCATCCTTCAAGTTCTCTTTCACACATAGACCTAAAGTTGAAGAGTTAGTATCAAGGATCACATGAAGTGTTTGTACCATTTTATACTGCATTGGTAAGATCACACTTATGGTCTCCTTTGACTCAGAGGACTCGGAAGAGTAGGGGCCTGATTCAGCAGATTATCAACCTTAGAATTTGATAAGCACTGACTCAGCTAGCAATCAACTGAAGTGCTTCCAGGGAAATCAGGTGATGTGGGTCCTGATTCCAGCCAAGTTTTTTAGGGAAGAGTATTGAGAAGATTGTTAGCCTATAGCTCCAGAAGCAGATGATCTGGAACCCTTCTAATCAGGACTCAGTGCTGGTCATAGTACCAAGAAAAATATTGATCATTCTGGTCAATGACCTTTAGCAGGCTTGAGATGAGGGTTGGTGTAGGAGATTGGGAGTGGGAGACACACAATGCTACAGTGGTTCTCCTTTTTCTGGAGCTGATTTCACAAGTACTGACGGGGTGGGGATGGAGTCTTGCTTTGTAGAGAAGAATGCCTCAGAGAATTACTCTTTTCCTTGTGACAGAGAATACGTTGAGAGGAGTTTTGGGAACACGGTGGAGGAGGCAGTAAATCTCATCAAAGAAGAAGCCTAGATTAAGAGACTGCAAAATCCCAGGCTGGTTGGGAGAGAGGGGAAAGAGGTTCAGGGTAGGCACATCCCAGAATCCCTCCAGGTTATATCTAGTTAGATGATTATAGCCTTAGCTTGGCAAGATTTTGTCCATTAAGAGTAAACAATAAAGGATTATAATCTGTAATTACAAAACTGATAAAAATTGAAAACATCATAGCCATGTTGGCTGAATGCCCTTGGATTTCTCTGTGTTGTTTTGGGCCTTGAGCTTGACACCCCACTGTTATTTTTCTAACATCTAGATGAAGCTGCTGGGTTAAGTCATTCATCAACATATAGTATGGTATCATAAGTTTGGTTATTTATGGGACCCACCTTTGTCTAATTACTTCTGTCATTGTATAAGATTAGGAAGGATGGGAATGATCTAGAGCTCACCAATTAAACAGAATCCCACAGCGGGGCCTTCTCTTTCACTGCTCCCAACTTCTGGAATACCATCTCTCCTGAGAGGTTGACTGGCTCTACTACTACTACTACTACTACTACTACTACTACTACTAATAATAATAATAATAATAATAATAATAATAATAATAATAATAATATTGGAAGGGACCTTGGAGGTCATCAGGTCCAACCCCCTGCTCAGGCAGGTAACCTTATACCATTTCAGACAAATGGCTGTCCAGTCTCTTCTTAAAAACTTCCAGTGTTGGAGCATTCACCGCTTCTGGAGGCAGGTTGTTCCACTGGTTAATTGTTCTAACTGTCAGGAAGTTTCTCCTTAGTTCTAGGTTCCTTCTCTCCTTGATTAGTTTCCACCCATTGCTTCTTGTCCTGCCTTCAGGCGCCTTGGAAAATAGCTTGACTCTCTCTTCTTTGTGGCAGCCCCTGAGATATTGGAACACTGCTATCATGTCACCCCTCATCCTTCTTTTCATTAAATTAGACATACCCAATTCCAGCAACCTCTTGCCTTTAGAAAAGCATTAAAAGCCCACCTTTTCAGACAGGCCAGAGGCCACTTTTAGGAAATGATAATGTATCTGTTATCTTTAACACAGAATTTTAGATCTCCACTCAGTACTTTTTACCATTGAGCCAGTAGTCGGCAATTACAAAACAGATGAAAATTGAAAACATCACAGCCATGTTGGCTGAATGCCCTTGAAAAATATTCTCAGCAATTAATGACGAATTCTTGGTTTGCGGTCACTGTTTCTACCTTGTATTGCAATACAGCAGTAGAGGATAAACATGTCCTTTGTGTCAATACTCCTATAGCATTAAGAGGACTTGGAGTTCTTATCTGGTAATGTTCAAGGACTGCAAATTAACACGGTCAAAACAGCCTAGCGGCCTGTGTAGAAATGTGATCCAAACACTTTCATTATTAATAGGCCAAGTTTATGGCTTTGAATCAAGGTGTATTCTTGCTAAATAAAAGGAAAATAATATAAAAAAGATGTACATGCTTTTAGCTGAAAAAGACTTTGCTGGTAGCTTTGACCTCATCCTTTTACCTCATCATAACCCATATGAATACTGCTGAAGGTGGGGTACTGTACAGCATTAAAGAGATAAGCTCTTTGTATTGCTGATTTTCAATTTGAGCAGAAGTAGAGTTTGAACACTTTTGCAAGGCTGATTTTTTTACTTAAAGCATTTCACATGAACAACTATTGACCTCTATTAACCCTTGCCAGCATATGGCCCTGGCTATCATGGGATCATTACAAGAGTCATTGAAACTCATGTGAGTTCTGACTTCCCAATCCCTTTTTCACTTAGCCTCTTGGAACAAGACATATCCACAAAATAAGATTGGTAATGCACTCTCTGCCTCAAAGCAGGACATTGATACCAACATTACCAAAAGAATCTTGACATTCAAAAGCAATTAGGAATACTTCTAGAGAAGTTAGTTCCCTCCTCGTGGTTGTCATATATTTGTTTATGATGCTCTAACTAAGTGGTGCTTTCAAACTGAAGCTGAAATGTGTTCTTCCCTTAGAACGGATTTCAGTGCTTAAGTTGCTAATGATCTACACCACCACCATTGTGTCTACCCTATAGAACAGCCTCCCCCCAAAGATAGCCCCACTGGGTTTTTTTGGGAGGCCTTACTGGTTTTATCCCAGGTACTGGGGCTGGGATGTTGATTATGAGAGATCTAGCATACTAAACAGTGTTTATTTTTCTTTTGTTAGATTTTGTGGAATGCTTTTGTTTTTATTCTTTTAATTTTTTTTTGCTTTGCTACCAGACTTTCATCGGATAGATGAGTGACCTATAAATTCATTAAATAAATAAATGATCTTTAATTAGAGCAATGAGATTTTGCCTACTTTATTAGTAGAGAGGAACAATTATATTCATTTGCTACCCTTGAAACACCATTCAGGCTTGAGATGCTGGAATATTTGCTACTATGCAGTAATTAGTAACAATATATCTGCCATCTTTCCTGGGGGGAATTTATTCTGGCTCATATGATAGTAGAGTAGAGTAGAGTATAGTATAGTATAGTAGAGTATAGTATAGTAGAGTAGAGTAGAGTAGAGTAGAATAGAATAGAATAGAATAGAATAGAATAGAATAGAATAGAATAGAATAGAATAGAATAGGGAAGGGACCTTGGAGGTCTTCTAGTCCAGCCCCCTACTCAAGCAGGAGAACTTATACCATCTCAGATAAGGGCTGTCCAGTCTCTTCTTAAAAACCTCCAGTGATGGAGCGCCCATGATTTCTGAAGGTAATGATACTAATGCTCATTATATAAAAGCAATCAACCTTGGCAACTTTAAGACTTGTGCACTGGCTGAGGAATTCTGGGAGTGAAAGTCCACAAGTCTTAAAGTCGCCAGGGTTGAGGAACTCTGCTTTATACAACGTATACTGTACTGATACAGCAAGTTTGGGACCTACTCTCAAGAGGGTAGGTACGAGATAATTGCCCATGTCACTGGATGGTTCATTTCCAAAGTATAGTTCAGTGTTTGGAATTATCAGACAGACTGATACTGTTTGTTCAAGTTGTGCTCGTTTTTTTTCGGTTTTCCAGCAAGGTCCAGTTGATTGGTTCATTGGACAAAAACAAAAAGTGAAAAAAAAAAAACAATTCCATTACCTTAAGAATAATTACCTTTTGAGACAAAAGTGGAAGTACAGGAGAAAATACCCTCCCTCCCTTCCAAGCAGTATTTCTCAACTGTGGCAATTTTAAGATATCTGAACTTTGGCTCCCAGAATTCCCCAGCCAGCATGAATTCTGGAAGTTGAGTCCACACTTCTTACCAGTGTCACAGTTGAGAAACACTGCTCTAGAGTATCAGGAAGCATTCCTCATCTGCCATCTTAACACTTTTGATCCAAAATTCACTCAAAGGCCAGGGTCTCTGATGGTCACCCAGAATTTGTAGAATCTTGAAGGGGATATTTATTTGAATAAAACTGTACCTTCATCAGGCAAGGTGGGCCAAGATTCCTAATTTTTTTCAATTTAAAGATACGTTTAACTTAACAGTAAAACTTTTAGCAGCACTAACCCACATATCTTCGTATCTCTTATTGGGACCATGCCACAAACGAGGAAATTCTACAGAGAAGTCATTCAAGAAGACTCTCTGAGAGAGTGACAGAATGAAGAATATACTTTGCCGTACACGTGCTCCACATGAGTGAGCAACATCTAGCAAAGACTGCAATCACTTGGATATCACTAGATCAAGGGTAGGCAACCTTGGCTCTTTTATGACTCGTGGACTTCAACTCCCAGAATTATCAGTGTGGCTTGCTCAGGAATTCTGGGAGTTGAAGTCCACGAGTCATAAAAGAGCCAAGGTTGCCTACCCCTGCACTAGATGGTCAGGGAAAAAAAGGAAGGGCACAGAAAATTTGGTGCCAAACATTTCAGGAAGATCTGAAAAACATCAACCTTAAACTGAAGGAAGTGGAGACTGTAGCTGTGGACTGAAAACTACGGAGTATGCTTGTAGCCCTGATGTGCTTGGCACAGGATGTGAAAGATCAGGCCACAACATATAAAAGGCAGAATTTGTTTAATTTTATAGCCTTCATGGTTTTTTTTTTCTGGTGCATTCACTATGGCAGCATGCAGCATACAATCAAACATGGGTTTGTATTTTAGGCATTGTATGTTATTTTTAGAACATTTTAGTATTTGAAGCCATGTTT